CCCGCGGGCCCCCGTGGGCGGCGGGGGGCGGCGGGGGGGGGGGGTCGGCGTGCCCGGGGGGGGGGGGGGGGGGGGGGTTGGTGGGGAGTGCGGGGGTGGTGGGAGATGGAGATGGGAGATGGGAGTGGGAGAGAGAGGGCGGGGTGGGTGGTGGTGGAGGGAACAGAGAAATTGTTTCACGTTTTATGAACAGGAAGAGACCAGGAGTGAGTGATACAAAGAAATGAAGGCGGGGTGATGAGGTCGCAGTGCCCAAGGTCGCAGAGGCCACAGGGGGCGCATGGCCACAGCAGGGGGAGGGGGGTTCAGGCTAGGTGGGGGCAGTGGGGGAGCGCGGGGAAAGCGAAATGAGGGAGACAGCAGCGATGGAGTACGAGTCCGATCTGACGTCACCAGATGATGCACGGGCCAGACACACGCACACGTCATCGCTCCCCCTGCCCGTGCCCGCCTTCCCCGCCCTCCCCTTCTGCCTCCCCTGCGACCGACGCAGATTCTTCTTCCCCCAACTCTCCCGCTCAAAGTCCCTCGCTGCCGCCCTCTGCATCGCTCTCGCTCTCCTCTTCTCCCTCTCGCACTCCCCCATTCAAAACTCAATTCATTCCATCTGCCCCACTCCACCCCACATCGACTCCCAATGCGACCAACCCAACTCAAACTCCTCCTCTCTCCCCTTCCCCTCCCACCCCTCCTCCTCCTCCTCCTTCTCCCTCTCCCTCTCCCCTCTGCCCCCAAACACCTCCCCGATCGACTACGACATCCCTCAATCCGCACGCGACCTCCTCCTCTCTCCTTTCCCTCCTGAAGACTTTGCAACTCTCGGCGACAGATTGCGCGCCTTTGTCCTCTACCACTCCAGATTGTTGGCGCTCGAGTCCCATTTGGCAAACCTGGCCGCTCTCGCTGCCAGTCCAGGTGCCGACCCCAGGTGAGCGAAAAAACCAAGGCTACCGGAACGGGAACGGTGACGGGGAACCCGGCAATGCGGGAACGGGAATCCGTGTGGGCTCGTGTTTCTCTCTACTGGAACGGGAACGGGGAACCCGGGAATGCGGGAACGGGAATCCGTGTGGGCCCCTGTTTCTCTCTCCACCACTCACCACTCCCACCCCTCTTGTACCCACCCTCCCTGCCCCCTTGCCCCTAGGACCCCCCCCACCCCCCCCACCCTCCTCACACACCTCGACACCTTCCGCACCTTCATGTCCCTCTTCGAGCACCACCTGTTCCCCTTCCTCCGCTCCACCTCCCTGTCCTCCCTGTCCTCCCACTTCTCCCGCACCCCGCAGTCCCGCGGCATCGCCATATGCGCCGGAAACAAACAGACCCGCTGGGCCATGACCGCCATCCGCACCATCCGCGAGTCCGGGTCCCTTTTACCCGTCGAAGTGGTTCACGCCGGCCCCCAGGACATGGACGCAGACCACAGACGACGCATACTCGACATGGGAAACGGGTACGACGTGGTCGTCCGCGACCTCGCGGCCGTGCTCGATGTCCAATCCAGCGAGTTGAACGGCTGGGCGGTCAAACCCTACGCAGCACTGGTCAGCGGGTTCTCAGAGGTCCTGGTCATGGACGCAGACGTGGTGTGGATGGGGAAGCCAGACGAGGTGTTTGAGGAGGAGGCGTGGAAGAGTACAGGGGCGGTGTTTTATTACGATAGGGTGGGGCGGGTGGGCGTGTGGGGGCGGGGGGGGGGGGGGGGGGCGGCGGGGGCGCGGCGGGCGGGGGGGGGGGGGTAGCGGGTGGGGGAAAGGGTGTGTGTGTGAAGAGAATCGGTCGAAACGAACCTCGCAGGGGATCCGGGAGAAAGAGCCTGACCGAATGCTCATCCGACTCTCGAAAATCCCCCTCTTCAAACCCCCCACACACTCCCCCAGCGCACCCTCTTCCCCCCCACCGCCGCTGGCCTCAGCTTTGTCCTGTCCCTCCTCCCCCCCCACCACCGCACCTCTCTGACCCCCTTCCACCTCTCCAACACCTTCCTCACGGGCCGGTCGGCCCACCACATGGAATCCGGCGTGCTCGCCCTGTCCAAGTCCCGCCCCTCGGTGCTCTACTCGCTGCTCGCGACGTGCAAGATGAACGGCGCACAGGAGAGGAAAGAAGCCTACAAGCATGTCTGGGGGGATAAGGAGACATGGTGGATGGGATTCGAGGCGACGGGGTGGTCGGGGTGGTATGGATACACGAGGTGGCCCGCGGTCCAGGTGGGGAATTTGGCAAGGGGGGATATGGACGAGATGAAGGTGGTGATTAGGTGGGTTGGCAAGGACGGGGCTGGGTGGGTGGGGGTGTTGGGGTCGATTGGGGTGGGGAGAGAACATGGGGCATGGGGTGTTGGGGGGGCAGGTGGCCCCCGTGGATGGTGGGACCTCGTGTCCGGGTGATGCTCATCTGCCGCGCTGGGGGACCACCCTGAAGTCCTGAAGTCGTGTTGGGCCTTGCTCACACCTTGTTTTCTCGTCTCCCAAACCCATTGCAGCGAAGACTTCACCCCGGACCCCTCCAAATCCTCCAAACGCCCCCTCCTCCGCGTCTGCTCCATCCAACTCGGCCACCTCGACCCCAGCGGCACCCATCTGTTGTGGTTCAACGGCGGCCCTTTACGCAACAAGTACCACTCCGACTCCCGGGTCGCCCGCCCGTCCCACTTGGCAGTTGAAACCGCCAGCACCGCGTGGGACCTCCGCGAGGAAAACGTGGCGTGCTTGCACCTCCCCGAGGGCACGCCGTGGGCCGTGGACGATGATGGCACGTGGTACAATACCAGCGCGGTGGAGAGGGTGGGCCAGAGTGCGGCGCTGGTCAGGGCGTTGAGTGAGGAGGAAAGGGGGTTCTTTGATAGGTTGGCGACCTGGTGGAGTGAGGTGATGGAGTTGGATAGGCCGAGTAATTCGGTGCTGGGGGAGGAACACAAGAGTGGGGATGTGACGGAGGGGCATAAAGGGTAGAAGGAGGGACGAGGGAGAAGGCGAGGTTGTTGGGGTTGAGGGGGAGGGCGCATAGACGGATCTGGTCGTCGGACACGAAGTTGATTGGTGACGTGGGTGGTGTTTATTAGAGAGACGGACCGCCCTGGGGACTGAGCAAATCGTAACAATTGCGGACGTGGACGTGGACGTGAGTGTTTCGAGAGGCATTTTTCTCACTCATGGCAGTTCAATCATAAGGTTGCTTGTTTACCTCGGTCTAGATCGTATTTTTAGATGAGTTACGATTTACGATTTTGTTGTGTGAATGTGAACGTGAATGGAACGTGCATCTTTTGCATGAGATCGTTCAAGTAGTGTGTCATGTCCCGTTGATGGTGCTGGGTGCTCTCAGTTGAGGCACATCCGTTTGAAGTGTTCGAATTTCGAAATGTGGATGTACACCCCCGCCGCCCCGAACCGTCCCAACCCCACGGTCGCTGCTCTCCATTCTCATCTCTTGGTTGCGGTGCGGTCTAGAACTGCGACACGACACTGACCCCCTTCACTTCTCTCCTCGTACCACCACTCTTGGTACCGTTGATATCTGGTGGGAAAAATTTCGAGTGCCGTCGGCCGCACCCGCATGGGACGACACAGTTTCTCCCCCGCCGGCTCACACCTCACGGAATGCACAAGAGACCTTTTCAAAAGAGTAACATACTCGGGCAGTGTTATGCCACTCGTTGAAATTGTGCATGCAAAAGTTAGAGGCTCGTTCCTCACGGGAGGGGCGGTGGCACCTTTTTTGTCAGAGTGCTCCGAGATGTACTCGCCCAACTTTGTATAGTATTTCACAGAGTAATACAGTCATTTGACATGTGCATTTTCGTATCTTTCGGGATTCCTTATCCACCAAGCACACCACTTCCCAGACGACCCCGTGGTTTGCGCATGCGCTGTGACACCCCGACAACCAGGAGAATACCGCTAGAGCACTCCGCCTCCTACGCTGGCCCTTGAAAGCACGTACCGTTTTTCTCATGCTTGTTTGGGAGCGTGGAAGCGATCAGGTTTCACAAACTGAGGACACTGATGTTGTTCTGATGAACAAACCAGTGTCCGTTGTTGTGCCCATAATAAATGGCCATCAGTTTCAAGGTCATGATGAGATTGTAAACAACAAACGCACATGATTGTCCAAAATAGTATAGGTTAAGTCATCTAAACATTCGGGGAAGAGGGGTATTATCATTGTCGGAGTGGAAACGGAAGTGTGAGCACCGTTTCGACGTTGTCCTTTGTGGTGGGGACAGCGCTCCGGTTGGGATATGCATGCAAAAGCACACAACACAGTCTTTCTTTGTACGAAACGACCCCAAAAAAATTATTGGGGTGCGAGACAAAACAAAACAAAATATCACAAGTTCAAAATATATGCCCCCTTCGTGGATCGAACACGATACCTTCAGATCTTCAGTCTGACGCTCTCCCAGATGAGCTAAGGAGGCTTCTTACAAAATTTGTATGACAAAGTGTAATATATCCTTGCTTATATATATATATTATTTAATGGTCCTCAGATTCTTCTCTCATCGCCCAAGTTCGATGCCCCTCCAAATGAGAAACCAGGCGACTCCGTGAATACCATGTAGCCCTGGGGGAAAACACAGATGAAGTTGTATGATGAAGGGGACACTTTCAGAGTCAGAGTCCAATACGAAACAATTTTTGCATTGGACTCCTTCTTGCAGCACTAATGTGATCTGCTCACACGTCTGGCTCTCCTTGCTCACATCACATTTGGTTAAACACTCACCAAGTGGCCAATGGGTTCATGCTCACCTGACCAAACAAAAATGTTGCCAGGAGAGAATCTAGCTGGGAGTGGAGGGAATGTTAGACAATGCTACATCAACATTTGATTGTCCAGATTATGATGATATCACACCAGACCACAGAAGAACAAACAGAAATGTCCTGATTAGTGGGGTTAGCTCAACTTGTGCACGTTGATTTTCAGTGTCCCCTAATGCAATTCCCATTCTTGTTGTTCCAGTTGGCAGGACACAAGTGAGCGGGAGTGACAAGCCATGACGCTCTCCCAGATGAGCTAAGGAGGCCCTCTTCTTGGGGTCGTGAGACTCAACTAAATATATGAATAAAGCCCTATTCTATTATTTGTAGGGAAGTTTGGTCTCCCAGCACAAGATACCAAAAATGTGAAATAAAGCCGTTGGTGGATGGCCTTACATTACGCGAATTTGAAGGGTGCAAATTGGAACGATGGGTTCCCTGTTATTATGTTTGCATTTAATATCCAACATCACTCCACGTTAAATGATTCCCCATTTATTTTGCAACTGGGCTTAATGCTAAAATGCTGGTCAATGTTATTAGAGGGATGTCCACTAGATTGACTCACACTTCACGTGGATGGGGAGGGAAAGCCCCTACACAATGCACTGTTGTGGTCTGAAGCATTCAGCACTACCTGAAAGAATCAATGTTACCGATAATGCTTGTTAAGTGGCGTACAATGAGACACATGAGGATGTTGAATTTGAAATTCAGAGCATGACAATTATCCACTACAAAGAACGCCAGCATCCAGGCAAAAGCTCCAAGATTTGCAGTTCCTTGCAGGAGAGGAAGGGAGAAAGTGGCTCAAGGAACTATGGATGCCAATGATGAGTGAGGGACTCGTATGCTTGCGTTTTGTGATGCTGCGATTTGTGCAATCTTGAGTGGTGTGATGCACTCCCAACCATGTATTAATGTTACATACATTCAAGTTGTGACAACGTGTATTCAATCATGAGGTTGCTACTGGAAAGAGAAAGGGGGTACTGGGCACATTGGGTGACCACAGTTCGGAGATACATGCAGTAGCCATATATTTATACTGTAAAATCTCAGTGAGACATCATACATTCATCCTACATCTAACAGTTCAGTGCAGTATGGGACATCACAGTGAAATGTCAAATTATCAATGGAAGTGCCTGATGAGAGATGAAGTACTTGAAGGACTGTGATTCTGTGGTGGACCTGAACTGAGAGATGAGGGGTGTGACGGAACGGGTCAATGTGTGAGGGTTTAGCCGCGCCGCGTAGATAGCAAATATATTCTACACCTCGAACACCATCATACACTCCCGCCCCTTCGATCCATCCCGTGCAGTCCTCCACAGGGGGATTGGGAGGGGCTGTTGTCAATCCAGGGGGTTGAGTGGTGGGGTTTGCAATACACTGTATCTATCTGTCCATCTGTCTACTGCATCTGGTCTCTCTCTTTTCCTACCTGGTGCCAGTTCACAACAATTCCTATTTTTCTGGTCTGGCTACCACAACGCAGATTAGATATGTCCTAGGAAACTAAGAGTGTCTCTCCTTCACAAAATAGAAACTAACATAAAAGCCTCCTTTTGATTAGGTATGAAACTCTCCAAGTTGATCCAAGTAGACCCTCCCAAAAAGGGAATCTTTCCATACAATTTTGAATTTCTCGAAACCAATTTGTAAAATTTTGGCCTTCCTTCAATTCTTACACATGGTTCTACCTGCATACAGAGTATAGTCACCCTGCTGTACCAATTCCAATGAAGAACAGCAGATGCAAAAACACACCCATGACAAAATGGCATGTTTCTTCTTATGCAATCAAGACTAAGTAAGCAAATATCTGGCATGAAACACAACTGAGCCATTGCTGTTCTGGCAATTGTGCGGATTTGGTGTTAGTGCTGTTATATAACTTGTGTGCATATGCATTTCTTACTTTCGCTGTGGCTACGACATGTGGCATACACACCACCTTGGTGCACAATACAGATACTCTCTGTGTTGATTTGCCCTGGTGGGCCATCCCTTCACAGTTGTTGGGAAGATGATTGGGAGGACAAGCTGTAACTGCTCTTCTATTCTCCTTCTTTGAAAATACGCAGCTGTCATTTTCTGGACTTCAAATCTCTTCTGATGATGGAATCTCAAATCAACGTCCATCCCCATACTCCACATGCTATGGGGAACAACTGAACAGATCCAGTTTTGTGAATGGAAGGAACAAATTAACTTGTGTGCCTATTGTGCACTGTAGCAAACCACAAACAGAAGGAAGGCCCAGACTCTCAATTTCTATGAAGAACACAAATGAGTCTCAATCTGTTGCATATGTGTAAACTAGATTAGCCATGGCACATAGACAAATGCAACATCTGTATTCTGACAGAATCTCTTTTGCCCCAAGTGGCAGCCCCCAGGGACATTACAGTGCACAGTGCAGAAAGGTACACATGTCCATCTATAAGTGAATGCCTCCTCTCTCTCCCTCCCTTCTGCCTTAGAGACCACAGCTCTCTTTAAGTTCTCTTAATTTGGATCCAGATTGAAGACCCTTGCTTCATGTAAAACCCCAGGTTTCTGGTGCCCACAGAGAAGTGAGGGAGTTTCTCACACAAATGGCAGTTTCAAAACATAACTATTCTTCTTATTCTTGGCTATGACATCAAATTATAATAGGAATGGAAATTATTTATGAAGAGACTTTGTGGTGTCAAGATTGCTTTTTGGAGTATTTTATCATCATATGTAATCATGTCCATGGTCTTTCATCCAGTATATCGACTCATCATACCACCACATCTTGTCCCAAACTTAAAAAGTATCCAGAACCCATTCAAAAGCCTAACCCCACTAATCAGGACATTTCTGTTTGTTCTTCTGTGGTCTGGTGTGATATCATCATAATCTGGACAATCTGGATTCTCTCCTGGCAACATTTTCGTTTGGTCAGGTGAACATGAACCCATTGGCCACTTGGTGATTGTTTAGCCAAATCTGACGTGAGCAAGGAGAGCCGGACGTGTGAGCGGATCACATTAGTGCTGCAAGAAGGAGTCCAATGCAACAATTGTTTTGTATTGGACTCTGACTCTGAAAGTGTCCCCTTCATCATACAACTTCATCTGTGTTTTCCCCCAGGGCTACATGGTATTCACGGAGTCGCCTGGTTTCTCATTTGGAGGGGCATCGAACTTGGCGATGAGAGGAGAATCTGAGCACCATTAAATAATATCTATAAACAACGATATATTACACTTTGTCAAACAAATTTTGTAAGAAGCCTCCTTAGCTCATCTGGGAGAGCGTCAGACTGAAGATCTGAAGGTATCGTGTTCGATCCACGAAGGGGGCATATATTTTGACTCGTGATATTTGGTTTTGCTTTTTCTCGCACCCCAAATAATTTTTTTGGGGTCGTTTCGTACAGAGAAAGACAGTCTTGTGTGCATATCCCAACCGGGAGCACCGTCCCCACCACATCTGAAGGTAACGTGTTCGATCCAAAAAGGGGGCAAATATTTTACCGACTGTCATATCGGAGCAGAACGTTTGGTTTCGAGCCGTCCCAGGAATCGATTATGGCAATAGTTAAAGTGTTGCCAGATGCCAAGACTGCATATTGACCCCGAGCCTCGTTGATCCGAGTATGATGCAATCCCAGAAAGTTACCTGCTTTTCTTCCCCGCGGTTGAGCGCTCTGAAAATAAACTGAAGGGAGGACCGACGGCACTGCGCTCTGTTTCCGGTTCAAACAAATCCCGAGTGTCCACCTCGCGGTTCGTAACTTGCATCCTACGTGAAAACTGAGATTTGTATGATGCGGGTTTTCGTAATTCAATGACGTAGTATCGTTATCTTTTGTTGTCTCCCTTATCACCACATCGGTCCTGATCGGGATTGTGGCCGCCTGGCGGAAGCAACCTAATCCCGCACAAGTGCGTCACTGTTACCCCCATCCCCTGACATAAGAACCGACTCAACAACACAAGAAACTCAACCACAGATTGATCTGTCTGCAGTTCAACAGGAGCGTTTCCCCCAATCTCGTACTCTCGTCGCCTTCATATCTCGTGTGCGGACCCAGTACTGAACAATCACCATTCAACAACAATGGCTTCACCGGAAATAACCATTATCGGGGGAGGTATTGCGGGACTCACGCTCGCACTGGCGCTCAAGAGGAAAGCCGGACTTCACCCTCTTGTCTTTGAAGGTGCTCCTGGTTTCGGTAAGAGCTGACCTGTAGATTTCGCTCATGCATTCGAGACTCATACCTTCGGCCAAAGATGACCATGCTGGGGGTGCGTTTGGCCTCTACCCCAACGGCTTGAAAGTATTGCGGGAAATCGGAGGGTGAGTATTCGGAACTTGTTTTAGTTCCTGAATTGCTTTAATTCCGTCCTTCTTTCCAAAAGACCCCAGCTTTTGAACAATGTACTCAGTGTCTCCCTTCCGTATCAGTTCCGTCGTTGGATGAAGCATGATGGACGGGAGATCGCCGTTGCCGAGGAATCGTATCTCGAACAGGAAGGGCTGCCCTCTGTAGGAATACGGCGATGGAGGCTGCAGAGGTGCCTTCTCGATGCGTGCTCGCGTGAAGGGATTTCCATTGCATTTGGCAAGCGGCTCGCCCACCTGAGGAATCCTGAAGGTGACTTGCAGGGCA